TAACGACAAGGGAACCTATAGGGGTATTCTCTGGGACCTGCACCTCGTAGAGCCGCTGAGCAAATTCAGGGGCGTTGTCATTGATATCTACAATCACTATGAGAACCTGGGAAGTCCCAGTTCTGGGCGGTGACCCACCATCCAGCGCTGTGAGGGTTAACCTGAGCTGGGTCTGCTCCTCGCGGTCCAGCGCTTGGTCCAGCACCAGCTCTGGGTATTTCTTGCCGTCGCTGTGATTGCGAGTGAAAAGGTGAAAATAGGAGTTGGTGCTAATTGTGTAGTTCTGAACTGTGTTGCTACCTACGTCCAAATCTTGAGCTTTTTTCAAAGGAAATGAAGTCCCTGGATGGCTGCCTTCAGGGATTTTCAGGAGGATTTCATTTTCCAAGAATTCTGGGGCATGGTCATTTACATCTTGGAGCTGTAGTTCACCTTGAATAAACTGCACCGGATTTTTCAGTAACACCTTGAAATGCAGTATACATGGATCTGTGTCACCGCACAACTCCTCCCTGTCCAATTTTTCTTTTAGGAGCAAATTCCCACTCTTCCGTTCGAGCTGCAAATACTGTTTGTTTCCTTTGGAAAGAATCCGGGCGCCCCTCGCAGCCAGCTCCCCTACACCCAGCCCCAGATCTTTTGCTAGGTTGGCCACAAAAGAGCCGCTGTCCCTCTCTTCTAGGACTGAATACTTAATGCTAGCGCTGCCCACCTCCCACAGTAGTAATAAGAAAATAATGGCAGTCACTTGCCTTTTCTCTGGCGCTTTGGGGAGCCGCATCTCCACCATTTCTCAGGATGCAAAAGATGCAGTATCTAATCACAAAATAATTGCTTTACAGCCAACTCAGCTATCTTCATTTAAATATCTTGAGTTAGTTCTTTTTAACATTGACCGACATGGGACGGCTGCCTCTTGGAAATCTTCTATCTCCAGGAGTGAAAAAATATTTCCTTTTCGAGCTGCCAGAAAACCCGCACAGCTTTTTAGGAGACACTGATTCTGCCGTTTTTCACTCTCTTAGCCTGCAGCGCCACCAAGCGTTCTGCTTTACAACTTCAGGTAATTTTCATTTCTTTTTTTTTTTTTTTT